GAAAAAGGGAGGAGGAAGCCACCGTGTTTTCTTGCGGAAAAAACTCTAGAAACCTTAACATATATTGAGTTATGTGTGTGCAGTAAAGGTGAACAGGTTAAGTCTTTCACTGTACACATAAAAACTGCATATTTTTTTTTGTGCGCTATGGTAGTGATGCCAACCTCTCATGTATGTTTGGGAAGGTCCTTAGGCTGATGTGCCTCTCCAAGCAGCTTAGTCTCTTCCAGAATTTGAGCAACAGATTTTGTTTTAGTCATGAGATTTGATGCACTCGAAGATTCTCCCATAGTATGACCTTTGTTTTTGATCATACATATGTGTCATGCCTGTGAATGTGAAATAGCAGGCACCCTCCCCAGCCAAGCCAGCTTGTGTGGATGCAGCTGTTTTGTTGGAAGTGGTGCGAGGTCTGCACAAGTGAAGTGTCATCAGAGTAAACTTATCCTTCAAGTGCCATTGAGCTTAGTAGTAGAACCAGATGAATTTTAGGGTGTATGAAAAAAATTGTGTGGATATATGCATATATTCCTCTTATATAGTAGCCTGGTTGCTCCTTCTGTCAGAGGAGATTGGATTGGTATCTACCTCAAGGGTCTGCCAAGCCACTGTATCATATGGTGTTATTAAGTCTTTAGCCTAACCTTTAGGTGCTTGTCTACACTAAGGAATATTTAATAAAATTACATTTTCCTTGCATCTGATGAAAATTTGCTCTATAGCCTGAAAGTCAAGGAGCAAACTTGAAAAACATCCATCTGTATTTTAGTGCTTGCTTAATACTTAATATACTTCTGTATAAGGCAAAACTGTTGCGAGGGATTTACTGCTGCTGTTAGAGAATAGCCAGAGATGCAGAAACCTAGCTTTTTCCTCAAAAAGGTAGAAAAAGTGGTTAAAAAAGAACTAATTGAATGAGACCTGCTGTGAGCTGGGTAAGATTCTTTCTGCTCTCTGAAATCTGCTGTCATTTCCCCCTAGTCTATAAAATATTAGAGTTTACCCAGTAGTGCCGTGTATGACATGCAGGATAAAGGTTTTGAACCCCTCATGGTAAAAAGGGTCTTACACGGATGTAGAAATTAACAAATCTCTAAATAAGTGATACTTATTTATAAAGAACTGAAATCTCATCTCACTTAAGTTTTGCCTGGTTGCTACTGTGTTCATCTACCCCTTGGTGCACATAGAAGGACAAAACATCATCGTATTAATACAATTCCTAAGCTTCATATGAGATAGAAAAAATTCGAATGTAGATGGTCTAAATGGAAAAGAACAGGAAAAGGGGCAGTGCTTACTGTTATCTTGCCTTTTCACGTTTGCAAGCAGCCAGGGCTTTTGGTTTTGCTTTCGTGGACGAGAACTGAATTTAGTTTCCATGGTTCCATTTTTTAATAGAATATTTGATGTAATAGGAAATTTACCTACAGACCTTTCCATTATTTAATTGCATTCTTTAAGCTAAATATTATACAAATTTCTGAATGTCTTTGTTTCTATGCATAACTAAGTAGCTGTGTAAGATAATTCATATGTGTAATACAGTTATATGTCCAAAAGTACTAAGTGTCTCCAGTATTTTGCCTAATTCTTTGACCTACTTTTCTCATCTTATTCAATACTGCAAAGGTTTTTAAAGTAGATTAGTAAAAAAAAAAAAAAAAGACAAAAATCCCCTTTGCTACTCCTGCCAAATTTTTTATTAGTATAAAGCATTAAGTATAATGCATCATGTTTGTAGTGAGGGAGAATAGATTATTTTGCTGCTTAGCTTTTGCTGTTGCTGCATCCTCACTAGAATGTGCCCGTGTGAAGTCACTGGTTTTAGTGTGAGTGCTGGTTAATTTATGTAGTTACAAGCATTGATATTCCTGTCCAACTGAATTATGTCTACTTTACAGTGATTCCTCTGAGTCAAGTTAAATTGTAATTTTTAGGCTTGAGTATCGTGTTAAAGTAAAAATATCCACTTCACTAAAACAGCATTTCATACAAAAAACACTGATTACTTGCATCTTAAAAGTCCAGACAAGTTCACCCCCCCCCCCCGCCCCAAAAGCCCACGGAAACATGAAATTGTGTCACTAAAAGTGCCTTGGTTAAATGGTGTGAGTCTCAGTGCTAATTAAGGAAGTGGGTAGCTCAAAGCAGGTAGTGGAGATAAAAGGTATCACCAACACCTTTCTAGATAACGCACCTACTGTTTCCATTTATTAAACTTTAGATTCCCTGTTTCTCTTAATAATCAATGTAGCTGCTCATGATTTTTTTAAATGTTGTCCGTGGAGATGTAGATTTAAAGCAACATCTGGAAAAGTGGGTAAAAAGCCTGGGTTCCACATAGCATGAAAAACCTGGTTGTTCCGAGTGCCCTATTGGACTCTGCCTCTTGGGCTGCCTGAGGTCTTTGCCCAAGCTCATGACAGGTCAGGAGTTGCAGTGCTATCCTGGCGCACCTAAATAAATTTTTCTTTCTTGTATGATTTGATGACTAATAAGATAAAAAGCTAAAATATCATCCTTTTAAATTAAACTTCATGTTGGATCATGTTGGATGAAGTAAACTAAGCTTCATGACAGCTGAGCTTGCTGCTTTAAAAAGGGTGATCCTGCCCTTTAGAGGTCCCTTTAATTTCTGGATTCAGGAGCTCATGTCCTACATTCATCCTGGGTCTCCAGTTTCCCTCTCAGAGCAGAGCAACTCCATAAGCAAAATGATGCAATTTCTGGTTTGGGGTTTTATTTGGGTAGGAGAATTAATTTTATGTTGATTCAGGTTCATGGGTTAGCTCACTGAGAGGGATCTGGTGAACATCGAATTCAGTGCTGTAGTGGGTTTCCCCTGGCCAAATGCCAGGTACCCACTAAAGCCACTCCCTCACTCTCCGTCCACAACTGGACAGAGGAGAGAGAAAAAAAAAAACCAGCAAAGAATTCGTGAGTTGAGGTAACAGCTGGGAGAGGTCACTTACTGATTACCTTCTCAGGCAAAACAGACTCAAAGTGGGGATATTACTTAAATTTATTACCAACAGGATAAAAGCCAAAGAGTGAGAAATAAAACAGTCTTAAAAACACCTTCTCCCCACTCCTCCTTCTTTCCATGTTCTCCCTCCTCCCCCCCTGTGGTGCAGGGGGACGGGAATGGGAGTTAATGTTCGGTTGTGGTTTCTGCTGCTGCTCAGAGAAAGGAGTCCTTCCCCTGCTCCCGTGGAGTCCCTCCCACAGGAGACAGTCCTTGATGAACCTCTCCAGCATGAGTCCATCCCTTGGGCAGTAGTTCTTCCCAAACTGCTGTCCTGTGGGTGACTCCTCCATGGGGTACAGTCCTTCACAAATGAGCTGTACCAGTGTGGGTCCCCAACAGGGGCCACAAGTCCTACCCAGGAAAAAGCTGCTCCAGTGTGAGTTTCCCTCTCCACGGGCTACAGGTCTATAGCAGGACCCTGCTCCATCTTGGCCCCCCCACACCCATGGGGTCACAGCCTCCTTCATGCATCGACCTGCTCCAGCATGGGCTCCTCCATGGGCTGCAGGTGGGTCTCTGCACCCTGATGGTCCTCCATGGGCTGCAGGGGCACAGCTGCTCCACCATGGGCTGCACCACGGGCTGCAGGGGCCGCAGCTCCGGTGCCTGGAGCACCTCCTGCCCCTCCTTCTGCACTGACCTTGGTGTCTATGTTGTTATTCCCATGTTCTCACTCTGCTCTTCCTGACTGGAATTCTTTCTGTGCAGCAACCTTCTGTTCTTAAATATATGATCACAGAGGTATTACTATCACTCCTGATTGGCTCGGCCTTGGCCAGCGGCAGGAAGCCTGTCCTGGAGCCAGCTGGCATTGGCTCCATGGGACAGGGGAAGCTTCTAGCAGTTTCTAACAGAAGCCACCCCTGTAGCCCCCCTGCTGCAAAAACTCAGCCACAGAAACCCACTACAGATGCCTAAAGAACAGTTGCAGTATGCAGCCAGGTTCAGGAGAAGACCTGGATTAGACCTTTAGCTGGTTCCCCTATGCAATGTCATCTTTGCCAGCAAAATCTCATAGAAACAAACCAGAGAACATTTTTTTCCTCAGGGATAATGTAACTATGATAAGAAAGATTTTATCACTAAGTATATTATTATTATTATTATTATTATTATTATTATTATTATTATTATTATTATTATAATTCCTGAGTTATAGAAAGGGAAGTGAAGGCTAGAGGGCCGAGTTCTATTCTCTGAGCTGGTGATTAGGAGCTGGGTCATTTGTGTAGCAACATGCTTAACAAATTGGTGGGCATAGTGTCAAGGTGTTTGTTATTTGGGGCAGCTGGAAGAGAAGAGGTACTTCTTTAGACACCAATCTTCATCTTAGGAATCTCTATATCTGCTAATACTTCTGTATACTCCTGCAGCTAAGCTGGAAGAAATGTCTGTAATTAGGAATAGCGAACCTTAAGTAGTCTCCCATACTTAACAAGAGAAAACACAACAGGTTGTTAATATATAGATTTGAAATAAAAAAGATATTCTCATATTCTTATAAAGTCTGTGATTATAGAGTGTGTTTTGAAATAGTTGTTATATGTGTTAGTAATTTAGATTTTGAAAACACTGTAACTGAAGATTGATTTACATATTTTTATTACACCTACTGTATAAATAAAGTTGGTTACAAAGCAATTCAAATTTCTGCAGCCAATTATTTCTTTTATTCAGTAAATGGTAGACAGTCTTGTTTAGCGCTATGCATTTGCATCAATTTCTGGTCAAGTGAAATGATTTGCTCGTGATCTTTGAAGTAAACCTATAAGAATAAATATGTCTTTTTTTTTTCCTTTAGACTGCCCTATACATTCTTTCATGTGCAGAGTCTATTTGATATGAGGTACATTTAGTGTTGTGAACATGCCAAGAATATTAGGTGGTGTTGCAAACTGAAAGAAAGAAATACACAGTAGTGGTCTTTCCTCCTATTCTTGCTATATAAACTTTTTTCTCATCTGTGCAGGAGGTTGCATCAACAATTTGAAAGCTATAAAGAGCAAGTAAGAAAGATAGGGGAAGAAGCCCGCCGTTACCAGGGAGAGCACAAGGATGATGCTCCAACATGTGGAATCTGTCATAAAACAAAATTTGCAGATGGTTGTGGCCATTTATGCTCTTATTGCCGGACCAAGTTTTGTGCTCGATGTGGAGGTCGTGTCTCTCTGCGATCAAACAATGTAAGTCTCCTGATGTGCACTCTTAAGAAAAAGCCTCCTTGACATTGTCGTGCTGCAGATTGTTCACCTTAAGTTTGGCATTTCATGCTTCATTTTACCTAAATGTTTCATTTATTGCTTCATTATGAGGTGTGTATAAAGTAAAATAATGTATTTAATGATTGTGGAGCTACTTGGGATTCACAGAGTTAATTAAAACAGAAAATAATAGTAGTGTATAGTTCTACTGAGTGATGGCTTGAAAACAATATACTTGTTTTTCATAGAATGAAAGAAGAAACCCTTTTGCTCAGGTACAACTCCACATTAATAACTTTTTATTGACCTCTTATTTAATTTTACATTTTTTTTTTTAGAGCTTTTCATATACATTTGTAGATTTTTTTTACATAAAGTCAGTCAATTTTTGGTTAGAAGAAAGTCTCAACCACTTTTCTTAGCACACTGAAAGTGTTATGTCAATTTATTTTAAATTTATTTATAAAATAAACTATAGATTAATCTGGGTTAAGTATTCTACTTTCAGGCAGGTGACTAAATCTTTCTCCCTCTGATCTGCATGCGGTTACCTGCAGTAGCTGTCCACAAAACTGAAGGGTATCTGAGATTACCCTCAAAAAAATGCATTTCAGGTTTATTTTAGAAGTTTTCCATAGCCTTGATGTACTTGTTAGTTCATTAAATTAAATTCACATTCTGAAAAAAACTATATAGGTGAATTGGACAAAAATTTGCATATCTATATGTGAAAACTTCCAGTGTTCATGTATTATTATAAATAGATGCATTACATTGCATCACCTGCAGGTGGTGTCATTAGAGCAACTCTCTGAAAATATAGTTTACTTTAGTACGTCACATTATACTATTAATTAGAATGCATGTGATACAGCTTATCTTTACTCAGAAAAAAAATTGAATATATTTTAATTATTTTTCACCCATTGTTTCAAATCACAGAAATGGAAGTGTCCATTCATTTGTAACTTGCCTTTTGTTTGTTACATTGTTTATGCTTCTGTGGGTCAGGGTGGGAAAACATGTTTACAACATATGCAGTAATGTCATCTTTTTATTTAAAGCTCTTTTTTTTTAATTTTATATTTTTATCTCTTCATAGAGAGTTACTAGAATTGCATTTCTTTGAAATCTGTCTATTAATACTTGCCTATTTTATTCTTTTTCTCTTCTTTTTTTTCTTTTCTCTTTTTATTCTGCTTCCTTGGATGCTTTCCCAAAGGAGGACAAAGTGGTTAGAATACATGCTTTTTATAATTTATTATTATAATGTTGTTAGCTAACTGGGATACATATTAATGTGAAAAACTGAACTGAAATTTTAAAATCATCCACAGGGGAGGGGGGAAAAACAGGAATCCTAACACCCAGGCCCTGCCCATCCTTAGCTGAACATAGGCTTTAAAGATAGCTCAACAAGGAAACTCAAGACTATTGTCAAAATTATAACAACAAAAGAAATTAAGAACTGAGAAATATTTGTTGTTTTTAGGCTAAGAAGTAGAGGAGGCAGTAAAGACTAGTAAAATTTTATTTAGTTAACAATTTTAGTTAACAATTTTGACTTTTTGCATACAAGATCCTTCCATCAGCTTCAGGAAATCCAATTTAGTATTTTAATTGTAATTTTACATTGTTTTACGTGGTTTGCTGTGTTTCACTTCTGGCTGTGGCAGAAATTCAGGGAATTCTTGTGAAATCAGTTTTTTTATTTACATTTGCATTAATATGTATAGGTAAAGTAAAACCTCTTCAAACTGGCCATAAGTGTAGTGAGCAAGGTGGAGTGCATCCTTTTTGAATGCATAGTTACCATTTCAAAAATCTGCAGAACTTTTAGGATCAAGTGCAGGCATATTCACTATTAATGCCTGTGCCTTATTTGAAATAGGTGAAACAACTATTTGAAATAGTTCCCTGTTCATCTCTGCACTCTCTGCATAGCAAAAAGGTGGGAGTACTTGAGCAGAACAGTGCAGTCCATTTACCACCTCTTGGGCAGCTCTGCAAAAGGTGGTATTCCAGATTTTAATTTAGATCATTAAGTAATGGGAATTAGCCAGCTTTGCTGGCACCTTAGCTGAAACAAGTGTAAATTTAGTGCTGTTTAACATCCAGAGAAAATTATTTCTATCACACCTGCATATTGCAGTAGGTTTTTTCTGTGGCAGTAGTGTTCTGAGAGCATGGATGTTTTTCCAATGGCTATGAAATAGAACTCGATATGGCTTCATTCCCCCATTTTCTGTGTGGTACTCTGAATAAAGTGCTGAAATAATCCAGGAGTTCGCGATCTTTTCTATTCTATTCATCTAAATGGCTTAGGATAGTGTGAGAGAAGTTTCAGCTTGATACTGATTTTTTTATTAAAGCAGTGCATCATTGATGCATCTGCTGGGGTGCATTAAAACACTAGTGCACTTGCAACAGAGTCTTCTTTAGGGTCAGAAACAGCAAGAGTCTCAAATCCCATAAGTACCACTTAGGTACAATTTAGCCACCTAAGTTTTGGAAAGCAATTCAGATGAACCTCACCTGGCCTCCTTATATGCTTTAGGCATCGTTCACCCTTCAGTTTGGAACACAAACTTTGCTAAATAACTGAAATTGTTATAGTGTCTGCATGCAGGAGAGATTGTGTTTTTGATGAGAGGACAGTTTAGGTGTTCATCTTTGAAATATATCATTGGAATCCAGAAAACAGACTCCATTGCACTAAAGAGCTCTGAAGATGTGTTCTGAAGGCATACATGACTCATTTGGATTGTCCTAAGTCCACTTAAATACATCCTTATTGTTTGCACTTGTCTTGGTTTAGGTTTTCTTGTGTTGAACTCCAAGCTTCCATGTGCCAAGAAAATGGCCTAATAATAATACTGTATATGAAAGTATCTTCTATGGTGTGATGAGCTACATCTCTTTAACAGCTGAAAAGTTAATGGTAGTCAGAGGGAGAGTATCCACTAATTAGTTCAGTTTTGTGAGGAACGTGGGGAGCAATTCTATAAAGCGCCATTGTTTTAGCAGTGCCTGTCTCTGAAAGATAATGGAATATATATTAATTAATTCAAAAATATTAATACATACCTAGCAAATAGCATGTTTTATAAGCAGAACAGTTGGTATAATTAATATAGAGCAACATGAGAAAGATATTATTTGTTAATTATTTTCAGTGGCTCAACACTCCTGACTAATCTACATATTAGGAACAAACTACCAAAAAAAATTATCTGGCAAGTTTCATATTAGTAAAAACTTTTTCAACATATTTATCCTTGTTGTCGCCATGTGAATTATTACCACAATAAATTATATTAATACAAAACACATGCACCAAGTTCCTAGAAGTTAGGGGTGCATTAGGATGATGAAGTGTGACTTACCAAAGTGCCAAGCTCAGGAAAAGTCAAATGCTATCATAGTTTCTAAGTATCTCCTGCAGAGCTGGAGAATTTATGATACCTCTCCTGGGATGTTTTTTACCACGTGTTACCCATTTTTGACAAATACTAACGGATAGGCACAAAAAAAGTCAAACAGAGGATGATCCAAGAAATGGAAACATGCTCATGTGAGAGAAAGTTAGAGAGATTAGGAGGACAAAAGATAAAGCAATTATAGTTGATATCTAGCATATGGAATTGATATGTAGAAATGTAGAAATTTTAAAGAATAACGTTCAAACTAGAGGACAGTGAATACATAAGACTGCATGGGTGTAACTTGGCCCTAAACGTTCCTGGCTTGGAGAAAGACAACTGCAATCCTTAGAGTAAAGCCTTGGGAATCTATTTCATTTTATTTACTGGAAGGAAAAATAAGCCAATAAAATGTTAAAACTGGAGCTTTCACTGTGATCACTGAGCATTTGTATATACTTTTAAAGAAAGCAGAATATTATTAGTACAGGATGTTATGTGAGATAGCATTTCAGAAAGAAGTCAGGCAGGTGCTTAAGAAAAAGCTGACAAGAGTGACCACTTGCTTCTAATTTGGCACAATGTTCTAGGTAGTTTTAGTTCCTTGCAGAGTGTCTACACTTTAACTCTGTATGTATTCTAGTTATGTTCCGTATACCAGCATTTTAATTGCCAAAATGGTAACGGGTGTAAGTTACTTCTCTCTATTTCATTCACTCTCCCATGTGATGTGAAATATTGTGGTTGTTAGGGCAGTGGACAAGTCAGGAAAATGTCCAGCTGGTGCTTCTGCATCGTTTGGCAAGGTGTGGGCAGAGCCCTGCCTCAGTCTTCCTGCTGGCCTGGCTGCCACTGTTCTTCCCTCCAGTGGTACCACAGCCTTGTAGAGCAAAAAATCACCTGAAAATACAACTTTTTCCCTTGCATCATTCCTGTAAAACTTTTCTCCGGTGTTTGGCTAGATCATGCAAAAAGATGTATTTCCTTTGTAAACACCTGATACATGAAGTTGTACTGCTCTGTTTCTTTCTCTTTATAGAAATGGAGATACATTTTAGGCTATGAAAATGATCTTGAATGAGCAAATGTATTTTTTTTGATCAAAATTTAAAAATTTGTGAAGTGCTGTGGGTGTCTTGAGCTAAGCGAAATTTGTATGACATTGAAAGAATTAGTGGAAGGTCTGTGTTCCAGATCAAGCCATATATTTATCCATAGCAATCAGTCTACCATTCTACAGTTTTCATTAGGGTTACAATTTTTGATCAAATTTAAAGTGAAAAGAATTGGGAGCAAATGATGAAAAAAATTTTGTCACCATTTTCCTGTGTGTTTTCCAGGTATGTTAGTTGTGCAGAGTAGAGGAGTTTGCTACTCATTTTTCTGTTTACACATGTAAAAGAAAACTGGTAGGAAATCAGGATGTAAAATACATTATAAATATATGAGAATCGATTTCACCAAACTTAGTAGTATGTGATTGCAGAAAATAATGTCGATAATCAGTGCTGAAGAAAGTCACATTTCTAATCTAGCATTCACTGAAATTGTTTTCATTTTAGTATAATGTCAGTGATTTATACTTGAAAAGAAAGACAACTTGGAAACATTTCCCTAATTGGATGTCAGTTGTTTTTACAAGGTGTTTGTCATTTAGTTCCTTTAAATTGCTTACATAATGACTTGCTAATTTAAGCCTTACCAACTTGAGTACATATACCATGCAATTCAACTGTGTACTAATGCTACAACAGAAGTTGGTAATATTGTCAGAACAAAATGTCTGGATTGCCAGGATCATTTTTACATCCCTTTCACTGAACTCTTAGGTCAAATTGTCCATTAAAAGGCTAATTTATGTACATTCTGACTAACACAGCTGTAGAACAAAAAAAAAATCCAACAGAAGGACATAAAATTACATAGCAAATTTCAAATGGATAGCAGGTAAATTCTCTCTCTCTCTCTGTAGCATTCAACATAATTTGTTCCCTAAAAGATATAGTTTATATGCATCAGGAAAGAAGCACTGCTTTTCAATAATCCCTCCCTAGAACTACTGCTTCCAGCAGAAAAAAAAAAAAACATCAAAAAACTGAGGCATTCTATTTCAAGTTACATGTAGAGCACTTCATTCTGGTTTTTGGGAAGCTAGTTCACTTTCAAACAAGTGTGAGAGTATAGATTTTTTAAGCAAATCCTTAAATTAGCTTGCTTTTCACCAAGTTTGCTGAAGAAACATGTTTGCCTTTAACATCTTTTTTTAATTTATTTTCCAGCTAACAAAAATGATCGATTACTTCTTATTCACAAAAAAAAGGCAGGCAGGTGATGCTAATGCTCTGAAGTTAACCAGATCAGAGCTTCTTCATTTAAGGATTGAACTGTAGAAGAGTCACTAGACAGCTGGAGTTTTATTCCACTATAGCTTTAAATCATCAGTAAGTCAGGAACCACTTGGTTAAGCTCTTTGATTTACTCAGATTTAGTTTACCTGTTTGCAAAACTCTTAAACTGCAACTTGTCATGCAGTTCTACAGTTGATGACCAAGAAAATATATTGTTACTGCAATACTTCTTTCTTAACCTGTGATAAAGGTCTCCTGAATCCTTCATGTCTGTTCTTGCTGTTGGCATGCAAGCTGGGTAACAGTGATCTGTGGAGACTATACCTAAAAAATACTGGAAGCTTCCTTCAGTATAATACATTATAAACAAAACCCCCCTTAACTTGTAATCTCCCACAGTGTTACTACTTGCTATGTTATCCTATTTTAGTCTTGTATTTTCAGTACCTTTGTTTCAATTTAGC